CTCATCGACGATACAAGCTCTGACATCCAATATTCGGGCCCTTGGTTCGTCTCGCTGGGTAGCCAAGATAGCATTGGAAATTTTGGGCCTCCCTTTCAGAGCACGTTGCATGGAGTCAACACCAACGCTAGTCTTTCTTTCACGTTCAGCGGTGAGCTCTTCGAACTCAGACCCACCTTCCATTGTGACTAATCTACGGAGACAGGTACCAAAGTCATAGTGCAGGGCACGAGCTATGTACGACGAAGTGGCAGCATCGTGGATCCGTCATGGGAGTGTTTCCTAGATGGGAGCAGCATAGGCGCGAATGACCCCATTTTCTTCCCAGAGAACAACTGGGTCCTTTGCGAAGCGGACGGGTTATCGAATGGGCAGCATACAATCCGAGTAGACGCGACGGTCAGCTCGCAGACGTTCTGGTTCGATCGCATTCAATACGTCCCTTCCTCCAGTGTCAACACCGACCAGGCGCTGGTCTTGATGGACGACACCGACTCGCAGATACAGTACGGATCAGGGTGGTCGCGGCTGAGGGACATCGTTACGATGACGTCGACCAGAGGATCCAGCGCCTCCATAACCTTCATTGGTGCGTTTCCTTCGTCCTCGTTTCAACCAAGTTTAACGCGGTATTCTCGCGTGGTAGGTACATCCCTTTCCTGGTACGGCTTCATTCCGGGAAATGACATCCCCGGTGCTCCAGCATCAGCAACCTACTCCATCGACGGAGGAACGCCCGTCACCTTCCAACTGAGAGGGCTCGCCTCGGGCGCCTTGGAACTCTACAACCAGGTCTTCTTCCAAACGGGCCAACTCTCGGCGGGACGGCATACAGTCGAGGTAGTACACCAGGGAAACAGCGGTACGACACCGCTGACACTCGACTACTTCATCATCCAAAACTCCCCCGGCGCTTCCTCCGACCCGACGACTCCTACGACCACGGTGGGCACGAACCCCGGCTCTGGGTCCAGCTCGAGCTCTTCTGCGAACTCGGCGTCCTCTACGTCGTCAGGCTCTTCAACGTCTTTTTCTTCCACCCTTCCTACAGCCACAGACTTCGGAAACGGATCACCCGTACCCTCTTCCTCAACAACCTCCACCGACCTCCCGAACTCGGACAACTCCTTAGGTGGCGGCGACGGTGCAGAAAAGAGCAAAATCTCGGCAGGGGCAATCGCAGGCGGGGTAGTCGGCGGGCTTGTCGCCCTCGCCCTTGCAGCGTTCATCATCTTCCTCTGTCTCCGCCGCCGGAGAAGGAAGCGCGAGTCCGTCGACCTCATCGGTACGCACACTGCCGAGGTTGCTGAGCCGTTCATGGGCCACCCGACGATGGCGGGCTCTGCGAGCGTCGTCGAGCCATTCACAGGGAGGCCAACGACACCTGGGGAGTACAATCCGTACCTAGGATCGGGCTCCGACCCGGCGACCTCGCCCCAGAGTGGGGCCTCGCCGCACGGGTATGGCGGTTCGAGCAAATTCGCAGGTGGAGGTTATGGTGCGGCTGGGTATGGTGCTGCAGCTGGGTACGGTGCGGCTGCGGCTGGTGGTTATGGTCCCGTCCCCGGGCAGGCGCCCCAGCCGGTGAGGTATCAAGGAAGCGCGTCTTCAGGGCCTTCGGTCGCGAACTACTCGACGACGGACGATTCGCAAGCCAACCTCCTCGGGTCGGCAAAGGCACGCGAGGCTGCAGCTGAGGCGGCGGCGGCGGTGGAGTCGGCTTCGGGGTCGGGCAGCCCAGGGCATTCACCACAGCCCTCTGCGTCGTCTCCAGCAGGCCCGTCAGCACCCCGGTTCGTACGTCATGAAGATAGTGGGCTGAGGCTCCCCGCAAGGGAGAGCAGTAATGTTGTTGAGTTGCCGCCCCTTTATACGCCTGGTTAGGATGGTAGAAGAGGTTCTCTTCACTAATTCATTTATTCCTCCTTTGGTCGTTGAAGCGGTTTGCTTAAGTCCCTTGACATTGTAACGCAGTCTTTCCTTTATTTTATTTTTCACTCAAGCATTGGTATTCTTCGTGTATATACCCTTCATTTCTGTCGTCCCCGTATCATTAAGGTTATTCTCAGTTATTCGTGACAAGGTGAAGAAATACAATCATTGTCTTCGCCAGTTCTCTCAGTGTACCACAAGAGTCACCTCTGGTAAGCAAATCAGCTTGCAATTGAATAGCAAGGATAGAATTCGACAATAGCTGCAGCCGAGTAAAAAATGACAAAGAAAAAAAAAGAAATTGAATGCCTAATTTTCCTCCCAGATTCGCTCTGCTGCCAAATGGGGCTCATCCAGTAGTGAAATCCCGTCAAAGGCACTGGGTGGGCCATGGAACACCCGAGGACGATAATACCTGACTTCAAGCTTCAGCCCGTCTGCCACAAACTGCTCAGTCTGAACACCAATGGTCATGACCAACGGCCGATTGAAGTAGACGCTCATGTGCTTGAGTTTCGCCACCCGTGGCGTTGATCCATCCTGCTTTCGAGTAATGAAGTCTAGCATGCCGGCGTCAGTGAACCCACCGCGGAACACGCAATGGAACTCGTCGAGGTGAGGACAAAGACATTGCACATCCTCACCTGGAGAAAGAAACAATTTGAGAAAATCGTCGTCGACGTGGTAGCCGTTGTTCTCCTGGGGACCCCAAGCAGGAACTCCAGGTTCTTGACATCGGGTCCGGAGAGCCGTTATCTGAGGGCAATGCCAAAGAAGTTGCTCGAAGTCGACACGGGAAAAGAGCTGTGGATCAGTGGTAAATCCGCGAATGGAGGGCGTTTGCGACAAGAATGTGGTGAGTGATGGCCGTCGAGTGGAAAAATCAGAAAGGAGAGATTTATAGGTGAGTTCCACCAAAGAAGGTGTGGAGAGTGCATCGAAGAATGCCGTTATATCGTCCCCTCCATCGTGTATTATCAGGCTCTCGAGAAGTGGCAGCGTGAGCGTTAACAATGAATGTGGTTGAGATGCCCCTTCGTTAGCGTTTCTCCACGCGAGTTCAATATGACAATGAGTGAGTTGAACACAGAATGTGAGAATAGTGACCGCCTTGCGTATGTCGAATTCGGGATGAGGAAGAGCCAAGTGAATCGATTTGATTCGGGCCCACGCAAGTGGAATGGCAGAGATATTAGGTGGCGACTTCCGGAAGGTAATGTTACGAATACTCGGGCCCTTCAAAAGACTGCTTTCCGTCCAAGGCACTAAGTACCTTCCCACATTATAGGATGAGTGTAAATATTCGTCAATGGCGAGTGATTCCAGCAGCGGAACGTCTTGTATAGCGCTCACTTCAGCCATATGCCTTGAGGGTAGGGCGAACTCGACTCTCCTCCAGCGCGACGAGAATTCGGCAATCGCTGAAATGATGAATCTACAAGGATCAGACACCGAAAGCACGGGGAATCCTGGATGCCAGCTGTGGAGAGAAATGCTGAGAGCGCAAGCCCCACTGCGACGCAGCCAGAGCCGAGTACCTTCAGCGCGTGCCTCGATCAACCTTCTGGTAGGGATGTCATACTCCATAACATCCCATGCATGTCGAGGGTTGGAGAATTGCGGTGATGGAATTGGGATGTGGATAGACGCCCAGAGACGAGGAGTCGACAGCGTGATGTCCCTCCATCTTCGACATACACGCATAAGCAGGAGCGGCGGGTGGTGGATACTCATTACTGAGTTGTGTTCTGTTGGTAGTGAGCTGAAAAAGATCTCCTGTAATATGTCGGCGGGTAGGCGACGTGCGCGAGAAATAAACGTTCGATAAGGCCTGATCTTGTCGGATAGCACATCGAACCGCCGACGTAATTCCTGACGGAGTAGATCCAACTTTTTCACTTCGTCCTCTAGGCTGTTCAGTTTGGTCAACGGAGCTATGAGCGCCTCATTGATTTCACGGATCTCCTCGTCGGTTGGGATGTCGTTCCTCTCGAGGCGTCCTAAGACGTCCAACGTCTCAGGGAGAGCGAAATCATCTGGTACGATGCAACGTAATGTGCCGGTCAATAATTGACGGCATACGTGAAGATTTTGGTCTTCCTTACCATTTGTCATGGCCATATCCTGCTTGATTTCTGTCCAAGCCTAAAATCCAGCGGCAATGTAATTGTTTGGTTCGTCAACAGAAACGCGTGGCAAAGACTTTCCACAAAAAGCCGAGCATGTGTACTGAAGCATCGACATATTCCCATCACCTTTACCAATTGATTACTATCCCCGTCATCATCTACACTGAAGAATTGAAATTTCTGCGAACCAAGCAACGCTCAATATCAAAAGGACGAAGACGAAGTAGAAAGTGCAAGGCCTTACCTTGTAAAAGTTTCATCATGCTGTACTTCTCCTCTTCGTACCTTCATTGCCTCGAACGACCCTAGCCACATCCCCTGGGTTGGCGCAGAAGATATCCACAAGTATCTTCACCGCGAGAGATCATTGATGGGAGAGCCTCATCCTTTGAGGCAGGCTTCAAATGTGGGAAAGCCGAATTATGTCGAGTTGTGTTCTGCGCGTCTGCTCGAATGTACTTGCTTCGTTCGGAGGAATTGTGAAAGGTTTGCCTGAAAGAAATCTGCACTAGGTGAATTTATATAAGAGGGCTCGTCGACCGCGATCTTCGTCTGACTCCCTTCCGACTTCCGACTTGACAATCCGGCGCTCATATGAGTCATGGTCTCATCTTTTTCTTCGTCTCCTTTCATCCGGGCCCATGTTGGCATATGCAGGGTATCTGTTCCCTCTGAAATACGCTTCCTTCGGCATGAGAGGAGCCCCATACTCGAGGCTGTTCCAAATATAATGCCATGATGTGGGCGTTTGAGCGTCCTTGCGATCAGGGTGCAAATTAATTGGCGGACTTCCGTGACCTCCTTGAACGTATCTCATTGGAAGGGGACGATGAAAGTTGGCAATTAATTACGCACCTCGACATCCCCTTGCCAATTGTGGACTTGAGTTGCTTTTAGGTCGCCTCTCCGCAAGAAAGTATCTGAATTAAAATGTGTAGCTTTATCCCGTCGATAGCGCGGCACTATCTGCATCAGGCTGTCTATATAGGACTTGTTGACCGCAATCTTCTCAGCTCCGTCGTCTGACTCCTTTCCGATTTCCGACTTGACAAATCACCGCCCAGCTGAGCCATGATCCCATTAAATCTTCGTATCCTTTCAGTCGGACACATGCTGACATATATAAACCCTATGCGTCCCATTATAAAACGCGAGAAGAGCCTGAACTCGAGACTGTGCCAAATGTGCGCCACAATGTGGTCTTGTGTGCGCTTGGCGATCAGGGTGCAATTTAGACCACCGTTATCAGAGTGCAGGGTTCAGTAGTAGTCTCCAATGTCCTCCAGCGTTTCAGAAGCTCTTCGCGAAAGAATGCCCGGCCGTAGTCTGCGAAGCACTCCGCTTTGGAGTGGGGCTTGGTAAGTACTAAGAACCAATGATCGACGAACTTGTAGGCAAAAAACAATGGCAAGAGTGGGGTTCGAACCCACGAAACTATTACGTTATGTGAAATCCATGTACCGGCAATCTCCGCTTAAGTCACACGCCTTAACCACTCGGCCATCTTGCCGTAAATCGGAGCTCAAATTATGTGGATATAGGCGCAAGTTATGTATACGTAAGAGCCTCTTTTCTTCCTCCTTTCACAGCGACGACGGTAAAAAATGTTTCTTGAGTATTATCCTTCTTCTATGCGATTTTCTTTAGATCAACTCGGACCGTCACCGGCTAAGGCTGAGACTGGTGCGAATTGTTGAAGAAATGCTGAATTACAACTACTTAGGTACGAAATTCGTTTTTAACACGCCTTATATTCTTAACGCGGCGACCTCTTTTGCAGTGGACATGCCTTTGAAACTCGGCGTCAACTACTGAACGACGTGAATATCCAGTCTATTCGACCGGATCGAGTCGGCCTTCTCTGCCTTCAAGTTCTTGATACCGAGGTTGGAAAACGTAACGGACACTTTCCCTTCGGTGTTGCTCGTCTGCCCAGCCACGATCGCACCCGGAACGGCCACCCCCGTCTCTCCATCCGTTACAGTCAATGCTACGGGACGGTTTTGGCGAGCAATCTTCGGTCCCGACAGTTTGAGGTAGTGCGCTCTTCCGAACCCATCGAACGCGAAGAGAACGTCGTCGCCCCATTTAACCTGCTGTTGGCATCCTCCAACGGGCGTGAACTGGAAGTTCAGGAGGATCGCCCAGAACTGTGTGTCGGTCTGGGTGTCACCATCGATAGACGTGATGAAGAAGTCATCAAATTCCGGAAAATATGTCCTAACGGTTTTGCCGAACAGTCAACGCTCTGCACCAGGTGAGATTTACTCATTGGTCACCTACCCATCGAAACTGAAGTTCTTCCTCTTACTAGCATCGTCTAACGCGCTGGTGCAGGTCGGGCCAGGCTTCGGGTTTTCGTTGTTGTTCGTCCCGTCGCAATGATGATTTCCACCCGACTTCGTAGTGACGTTGTGGCCTCGGGTGAAGATCGGACCTTCGAAAATCGTGCGCTGCGCCCCTTCGATACGCAAGTTGACCACAGCGCCGGCGTTGGGCGGCGGTGCCGCAATTGTCACGATGGTCGAGAGGAGAAAAGCGCTCAAGCTAAACAACATGAAGTGCATAGCGCTGGCAGTGACCTATATCGACGTGAGGGGAGTGGGCTTCTCAGATTCAATATCATCTTCAAGAAGCTGCTTTTATGCGGGGCAGAGAGGTACGTCTCTCGTCTGGATTGTTCCACGAGATCGATATCAAAGCGTGTTCTTGAGGTCTGGCTTCATATTTGCGCAGGGCATCTGTCAACAGTATGACGGCCGTTGGCATTTCCCCAAGGTATAGGTACCCATCTTGACAAAGAGAAGGGGGATCCACGAAGAAGCGACTTGCGTAGGACTGCAAATGTATTCAGCTATGGAACTGATGTCACGACATGGTGCACGGACGTCTCTATTTCTATGATATCAGGGCCTCTGTCGTGCGCGTGCGCGTATCCTTCAAGAACTTCACTAGATCGGTCCCCCCGGTGCCCTTCAACGGAGCCGAGGCCGCTGCGTTGACATGTTCAACACCTCCAGCCACCGATTTCTCCAATGCGATCTTCGCCGCTCTCCTCGCAGGGCCTGTAACATAGAGGGTCACGATGATCATATGCGCATCACGGAACTCCTTGAGCGCCTTGACTGCGCTTGTGTACGCCGCCAGGAGCTTGTCATCCTTCGCATCCACCACAAAGTTCCTCAGTGGGCGAGGGTTTGCCTTGAGGTGATCAAGGAACATGCGATGGTTGTGGGGCATGTACGATTGCATCCTCGACATGAACGACGGCTTCCCGGGGGTCGTCGCCTGGTGGTCGACGCCCAGGAAGATATCGAGGACGTGGACCATCGAGCTCTGGCCCGCGCTCGGGCCGGAGAGCTCAGTCGGGGCGACGACGTCCGCCGCGTCTTCAAGTCCTTCGAATGTCCACTTGCGTTTCTCGCGGAACTCGTAGGAGTCTTCCCCACGGAACCATGGGCGAACGACGTTGTAGTACACCTCGGGGTTGCAGAGGCGCTGCACGTCGAGGAGAAGCACCTTGAGATCGTCAATAACCCCGGCGATTGTCTCTAGGTACCCCGCAATGCGACGCACGGCGATCGCGTCGCCAACGAAGGTTTCGTCCATGGTGACGCGCATGAGCTCGAGGATCTCGACACCACGCAACTCGATGCGCGTAGAGCAGAGATGCGACGCACGGCGATCGCGTCGCCAACGAAGGTTTCGTCCATGGTGACGCGCATGAGCTCGAGGATCTCGACACCACGCAACTCGATGCGCGTAGAGCAGAGGTAGAACTGTTCCTCGTCGACGGTGCGCGTGAACATGGTTTGTGTGCGGATGTTGTCCGTCGTGGGCACTGCATCGTCAACATCAGGTGCCACACGGAAGTCCCAGTTATATAGGACGGTGTCGGAGAAGGTGAGCAGGGGTGGGATGTCGAGCTCTTTCGAGACGCGGAGAATGGGGATGGAAATTGAGGGTGGGATGGATACCGGTTCATCCGGTGGGAGGCTCTGCACATAGAAGTGCAAGATGTAAGCTAGAACCAGGTGCGCCCGCCGGAGAAGCACTGCCGAGCCGCTGAGGTCCCCTACGGGGAGAAGTGGCATCTAAGAACGTCAAAGACGGCGATGACAGTGTTCGTTAAGATCCGGTAAGCGTTGAGCTGGAAGAAAGGCGACAAAGGGAAGCCTACCTCTCGAGCTTTCTTACGCCACTCTTTGGACGCAGCTGCCTCCTCGTCGGTGAGGTCAATTTTATCGCCGAGTTGTAATTTCGCTGCGACGGCGGCGTCTAGCATGGCTTCCCATATCTCCCAAGCTTCGGGCAGGCGCGCAAGCGGAGGGTGAGGCGCCATAAATCCCGTGCGCTGGTCAACGTCGAAGACGTGGACAACCGGCAACGGAGCTTTGCGGTCTTCTATGGAGCCGGTCGAAGTAGTAATGTTCATCTCGGAGAAGGTGTAGAGTGTAGAAGACCTGGAGAGCGTTGCTGAAAGTTTTTGACAGAATGCGAGGCGTGTTGCGGTGGGTTATGGGTCAGTGGAAGATATAAAACTCATTTTAACAGCGGTATGCTTGTGTTGTTGCGCGATAGCCAGGAATTTGGGGTGACCATCGGGTCTTATCCGTACGCATTGGCTTTCATTGCCTCCTCCGACCTCCCGCATCATTTTGACATCATAACACCAGAAGGAGTTAAGAGGCGCATTTGGCAAGTACTTGGGAATCGGGGCGCTTATCGTTCATTGTAACGGCGCACCGCATGGGCAGATATCCTCATGCGGACTTCGACTCTCGAAAGGCCGACACACGTGTGCCACTCCTCGTGTTCACGGACCGACAACGGATGGCGAGATTCCCGTTGGTGGGCATTTGAATTGGGTTTGTACAATAATTGACGAAAAGGAGTTCAAAGCCATAATGCCCTTTGAGAAGAAACAAGTTAAAAGTATGCCTGGCGTAGTTGTACGTATGCTCAACAAAGTAACGCTGTAACCTTTTCAACCGGGCACCGGGGCGATCGGTC